ACTAAATTTTGATCCCTGAAATTCTTGGTAATACCAATGTTCACTTTGTCTGGTTTTGTTGCAGTATGCCCCATATAATAAAAAAATTGCATGGAATCCAAGACTGCACCACTATGTCAATCAAGCTATCAAGCTGTTATCTTTGTGCATGATTTAAAATTCTTTTGTGCTCCCATCTTTCTTTGCTTATATATAATCTATGTTATCTTTTTACTGGTCAAATGATGCCAAATTGGTTAATGGGGTATTCAGCAAATATCAGAACCTGATTATTCTTTAAAAAAATAATCAAGGTATTAGCATACTGATAAGTTAATAATTTTTTTATCATATAGTCTGCTAAAATAATATCATAATCTTGAGTAACAGTTAGGTTTCTATTCAAATAAGGTTTACTTGAATAAAACAAATAATTTGAGTAAAAAATAATTCGAATAAAACAAATAAAACAAATAATAATAATTTGAGTAAAAAATAATTCAAATAAAACAAATGATTCAAATAAACAAGAACTGCCCCAAGACCAGAACGTTTACTAAGAATTGATACATAAAAAACAATTACATTCCAAATAATGTTCGTTGTGTTGTGAACAATTATTTGTTTGAGTGGAGGAATAAGAACAGGTGCGAATTTGATAACGTAAAAGTAAATGTTGGTTTGATTCATTTTGTCAACAATCACTTCACTAACAGTTGTTTTGTTAACAAATGGTTCAAATTTAAGAAGTTGGAAGCAACCATGCGACAAACCTTTGAAATAGTCTAATAAATTAAATTGTACTACTCAAAAATGTATTTAAAGGGTTGGTTTTCAACTTGGTCGAAGAATAACTCTCTTCCTAACTCTTCTCTTGATCATATCTTTCAATATAACCAAAATAACCTTAATATAATGAATGTCAACATTTAAGATATACTATTAAGACAAAACATGAACGATGTATGGAAAAATTAAACAAATTTATTTAATAAAAACAAAATTACAACCAAAAAATTTTTTTTTGCACATCCTAATAAAATTTTCCATTGTTGCATCATTTATTGCTGATTCAACATTACCCAGATCATCATCAACTGTATTTTCGATATTTTCAATAAACTCATTTTCGTTTAATCTTTTCATTATACTTTCTTTTAGTGCATTGACATTTTTTTTGATTTCGACTTCAAGATAGTCCAAGATATCAAACGTTTAGGTTGGCTCCTTTGTAGACAATGATTGTGATAACCATGTTCACACATGAGTATATAACACTACAATTATTCAAATTAGCATAGTTAGCATAATCACAATATGCGTAATTGCAAAAATGTTTGTAAATGGTTTCCTAGAAGTAACAAAGCCTCTTGGAAGGTGACGATGGGTTATTTCATAAAACTTAAAGAAGGCAATTAACACCATTAGATGAAGTTTTGGTAATCAAAGGATACTGATTTCGTGCTTGATATAGTGGTAGTATCAGATTGTCTCTGGACATGAATCCAACTTGCCTCTTTTACAATCTACTGCTCTTGATGTTGTGGTTGTTCCAAGACTTGTATCTACCGAACCTAAACAGAATGCAAGGTCAAATTTAAAAGAGTTAATTTTGTATTATTTAATGAAGCAAGTAAGGTCTGATTCATTTTGTCAACACCCATTTCGTCGAATGTTTGTTTCATTGAAATTATTTTGTCACAAAAAAAACTTCATTAAACAAATTCCTCCTCACACTTGCCACAAACTCCACTTTCCTCACCTAATTTCTTAACTAACTTCCCATACTCCTCACATCTAACTCGTTTGGTCTCTGGCTCAAGGATGAAATAATTTTTGACGAAATGAACTTTCGACGCAAACTTTCGACGAAGTGAACGCGACCCGTATGTCGAGTTTGATTGCTTGGCGAACTACTAATAGATAATATGAGAGAGGATATAATTAATTCATCATTAATGATTGACTACTTGCAGCAAAAACCTACTTTAATTTTGGCATCAGAAAAAAGATCCCACGAACGAATATACGCAAACCTTTAATTATATCATGAAATAAATATTCATTAAACATCTTAAATTCTAAATAACCGAATTCTCTCATTTAACCAAAACACAACCTCGCCAGATACTGTTTCATTAATTTTTGTGGTGATTTTTACCAATCTGATCATGAATAGAATTGACGACATTTTTGATGATGATAAAAAAATTGCAGGTAATAAAATAACAAAATATTACATTTATTGTTGTCATTTGGCGCTAGTATTTATAACTTGAATCAACAATAAAGTAGATTTACAACCAGCATACACACGAGAAATCAAATTAAATGCAGCTACGATCAACCAAATTTGATTAGCTTTAATTAAATAAACACTTTATTCTACCACTTTGGTATTATTAAATCGAGTTAATATTAACCCAATATTCAAGTTTTTATCTTACACATACATGAAACACGTTCACAAATGAGCAAAAGAACGAAAATTCGAAAAATATAATAT